AATATTTTTAATGAATAGATCTCATTGATGTGCAAAAAATCACCTATCTAAATATTGTAGTTCTCGAGAAACTTCTAACAACTTCTAATGTACTGTTGCGAGCCGGTGTGGACTCGACCTAACCTCACAATATGGCCCGCCCTCGGATGACCTTAACATCGCATAGACACCGCAATGATTCATTCGTTCGAGAAGAATCGAGACCCACTAGAATGGACTAGTACATACGAGAACATTCGAAAACCTTCTCTATGCGCCTAACGATCTATGGACTATTCTAGATTTCTTTTGCTGTAGGTATAAAAGCCGGCGGCAGTGGCCTAGAGAGGGCAGTTATAAATATACCAGTGCAGTTGACGCGCTAAAATTCAAAATAAATTCTTAGTCATAAATCGTTTGTAAATAGTTCTATAAGTCTTTTATCGTTATTGTTTTTGTTAATTAGTGTTAAATAAATAGTGTTTAAATAAATTGTGACTTTCTATCCACACGGAACCGACGAAAAACGTAACAATTGGTGTCAAGTGTGGCGTGTGTGATAGACTAAAAAAAAAATAAATAAGACTGAAAATGGCTTCGAAAAAATTGTTGAAGGACTTGAAAGTGTCGGAATTAAAATGCATACTGGAAGAGAGAGAATGTGAGACAGATGGGAAAAAAAGCATTTTACAAGCAAGACTAAGAGATGTTCTGATCGAGGAAGGTGAGGATCCTGACACATTTTGTTTTGAGTTAGAAGGTGATCTTGACTCGTCATTGAAGAATTTGCAAGAAAATTTAAACGACAATTTGAACAGTAAGATAATTAATTTAGAAGAAAGTTTGAATACTAAAATCAATACATTAGAAGATAAGATCATCGAAAATTCTAAAGATATACAGGCCAGCTTTAATAATAAAATACAGGAATTAGAAGAAAAGATAATAGATACACAAGACAAAATAACTGAGATTGAGGAAGATGTAAATAGATTAATCGAAATTTTGAAAGAACAAATAGCGAAGTCAAATTCACCAAAATGTCAAGAAACATCGGAGGGACCGAAACTAGTCGAAAATAGGTATACCTCAAAATCAGTTATGAAACCTCCGCAGTTTGACGGAAAAACCGCTTGGGCCAACTACTTTTGCCAATTTGAAGCCGCTGCGAGAGCAAACGGCTGGACAATCGCTGAAAAACTACCGCTTTGACTATCGCACTGCGGGGAGATGCGACTGATATCCTGCAGACACTGTCACCATCGGAACAGGGAGATTATCAGCAATTGGTACGACATTTAGAAATGAGGTACGGCCAAGCTCATTTGGAACATGTCTATCATTCCCAGCTAAAAAATCGCATTCAAAAGGCAAATGAGTCTCTGCAGGAGTTTGAAGCCGATGTAGCCCGTCTCGTTCGCCTTGCGTACCCTGCTACGCCCGAGAATGTTATGGAGCGGTTGGCAGTACAGGCATTCTCCGATGGCTTACGTGACAACGAGACAAGACAAGCGCTTCTCCTAGCCCACCCAACGCACTTGGTGGATGCTTTAGCACGTGCCCTAGAATTCGAGGCCGCGAAACAAAGTCCTCGGTCTTTAGGAAGAGTACGGGCCATCGACGAATGTTCCGACGAATCCGTGGAAGGGATTGTTCGGAAAGTAATGGACCAGTACATGGGCAAGAAGGGACCGATTCGTTGCTGGAACTGCGGACAGGTAGGACACGTGCGAAGCCGTTGTAAGGAGAAGACGAAGAACCGGCTTCGTCGAGGTCGGAAAACTACTAAGGGTCGAAATGAAGGGGCACACGTCGACCTGTACCCAACATGCCCCAACCAAAACTGCTCAAGTCGCCTCGCTACAACACAAATTCAACAGCATTTTTGTGGATGGTTTTGTTGATGGAGAGTTCCGGACCATGCTGTTGGATACAGGTGCGACGAAAACTATCATCAGACCGGACATTCTTAAAACATCGAAAAAAGTTAAAACAACACAATGGCGACTACGTACAGCTACAGGAAGCTCCGCTCTCATCCATGGAGAGGTAGATCTTAATTTTGTTATCGGAAGCACCTGTTTTAATCATCGAGTGTTAGTAGCAGACATCGAAGATGAACTTATTTTCGGAATGGACATCATGACCACTAGAGGTTTTGAGCTAAACCTCAAACAAGGAATTTTGAAAATAAATGAAGAAGAAGTGGTTCTGCATCGAAAATGTGAGGAGACGCTTCGCGTGGTCGTAGCAGAAGATGTTTCGATCCCTGAGCGCTGAGTAGGTATTAGGATACCTTTGCCCAAGGTCAACCCCCATTTTTTCCCTAAATTTAGGGAAATTTTACCGTCCATAGCGCCCCACCCCATGTAAATCTTATAACATGGGTTATATGTAATTTCCCTAAATCTTCTGATTTTTAGATTTGGCAACGTTGCATTTTGCTATGCATCCGGCAACACTGTACGTAGACGCCGAACGCCATCTAACGTCTACCTCCGGAACTACCGCGCGCCACTTATCGGGTAGCTCAAGCGTTATAATGATGGTAACTGTAATTTGGGATGCATGACGTCATCCGCCTGACGTCATTTAAATTTATTTTTAATAAAAAAGTTCGGTGTAGGGTTTGAACCACGGACCTGTCGATCGCCAAGCTAACGCCTTAATCAACACGACCACAAACGTATTTAAAATTATTTGTAGGTATGTCTATATGAGGGCCCCAAATTAAAGCTGTCTCAAAGGTATAGATCACGTAATGAACGACGTTCGTACACAAGTCAAATACCATATATGAGCGCCATTCACCATATGCCATACACCTAGCCCTGCGTACCGGGGGACCCACTAAAAATTTATTAGCACCATTGATTTATCAAAAATAAAAGCAGAATATTTACTTACCAAAACTAGCTATAGGGGCGCAGCACCAGCAGTACCAACGGCGTAAGGTAAGTACCTAAACTATTTCTAGGTTGTGGGAGCAGCATACGTGTTGTCGCGACGACCACCGCTTAAAGACTGATACAAAAATAAATGTAGTTCTTATTTAAAAGTTTTTATAACAATATTGTTGAAGGTTGAGTTCTTCGGTAAACATTGGTTGTTATCGTAAACGCGTCAAAATCAACGTGCCCTTAAACACGTACCAGATACCCTTTGTAAAAACGTATTGATTTAAGAATTTATTAAAATTAACTAATAAGCGCAAGCATAAATCCAATGATACAATTTAGGTAAACAAAGTTGACTTCGGCAAATATCGGCTGATATCGTAAGGTGCGGTACTGTCCTTTGTCGCGCACGCACAATTATTATTTAACAAAAATAGTAATAAAATATATATACGCATGGCTAAATGATTTATTATAAAACATAACGATTAATTTAAGAGTATTAAACCAAAAGACTTTACTTTACTAAAAGACTAAACATCAAATATTGGCGCCAAAATCAACAGGGTGTGGTGCGCAAGCCCCAACAGAAAAATTACAGCAAGTACTTAACGCTATAAGAATAAAATTTAGAGATGACTAAAAGCAAACAGCTCTGAGAATCTAACCCAACAGAAAAAATATGTACAAGTACTTAACGCTATAAGAATAAAATTTGGAGATGAGATTAAAAAACAAACAGTTCTGAGAATCTATCAACAAAAATAATTTAAAAAAGTATTAAGTCAAACGTCAATTAGGTGTAAGCGCAAGCTCCAACAGAAAATTTTTTAAAAATACAAGGACAATAGCCCATCGTTTAACTTCGGTAAACAGCGGCTGTCAAACGTCAAAATCAACGCGCCAAAATCAATAGGGTGTGGCAGAACTATCGAAATTTTCACACAAGTCCGAAACAAACAGAAAAAAATTAAAATCTAATGCAAAACATAACGATTAATTTAAGAGTATTAAATTAAAACAAAGATCAAACGTCAAACACTGGCGCTAAAATTACTAGGTGTGGCGCGCAAGCTCCAAAATAAATAGAAAAATCTAATGCAAAACATAGTGATTAATTAATTAATTTAAAAGTATTAAGTCAAATGCCAACTAGGTGTAAGCGCAGACTCCAAAATAAACAGAAAAATTTAAAAATATGTACAAGTACTTAACGCTATAAGAATAAAATTTGGAGATGAGATTAAAAAGCAAACAGTTCTGAGAATCTATCAACAAAAATAATTTAAAAAAGTATTAAGTCAAACGTCAATTAGGTGTAAGCGCAAGCTCCAACAGAAAATTTTTTAAAAATATATACAAGGACAATAGCCCATCGTTTAACTTCGGTAAACATCGTTATCAAACGTCAAAATCAGCGCGCCAAAATCAATAGGGTGTGGCGGCGGCAAAAATAAACAGAAAAATTACAACAACAAGTACGCCCTTTATGCCTTTGTAATGTAAAAAACTTTAATATTTATCGAAACGAAGAAAATTAATTTAAGAGTATTAAATCAAAAAACAAAGCGTATTACTAAAAATACGTACTTACGAGGTTTATATGTATTATTATTCAGTCACTCAACACATACACTTACACCCTTTTTCTTCTTCAATAGCCCTTTTCACTAAACGCACTGAAAATACACAATAAATTTCTTGATGCAGTACCGTTAAAAGTGAGAAACAAACTGAACCCACAACGGCTGGTCATATGGTGCAATAATTGAAAAGGATGTGACGTTGAGAGAGATCTAAAATAGAATTTGTTTTTACGCTAGGTGTGTGTGAATCAGCTGAAGGAAGTATGACGGCGGATACTACCATATAGTATTTTCTTTATCGCAAACATAAAAATATTTATAGTTACAGGGCGTTTAAAATATACTTACGTTAAAAATATGTAAATGTGAAATTATAATTACACAATGTTGCGCAACACCTGTATCATCCTTCCTTTTGCACACGTCACTACAGCTGTCAAGGTATAAAAAGGGCGACACACCGAGCTCAAATCAGTTCTCATCGAGACTTTGCAGGTGTCACATCGTAGTACCAGCAGCGTTTAACATAACCTCAAAAATGGAAAAATTTATTGTAGTGAAAGATTCCATGAAAAAAGTTCCGCGTTTCGGTCTTACTGGCCGTAAAGTGGAATTCAAAATTAAACCGATCCCGGAGGGCGAGGATCCCATGAAGTGGGTGAAGGGGGCTGTAGAAGACATTTTGCAGAAAGGGACCGAGGGCGTAGCCCCAAATGATCAAGTGGGGCTCAGTTTTTGCTCCAAAGACTTTACACGCGGTGATGGCTGGATGAATTTTAAAACGGCTAGTGAAGTAACTTTTGACGATGCATGGAAGACAATATCTTCCATATATCAATCTAACAGCACCGGACTAAACACCGAGACTTTCTGTCTCGGTGTTACAGCCGTGAAAATGCCGGTTGGGCAAGGTCGTGGGGTCAAATATAACAGTTTCCACGAAGAGTGTGGGATGCGGAAGGGGATTGCCACCATAAATAATAAAGATAATTTGTGCCTTCCTAGGGCCTTGGTTGTGGCTATTGCGCACGCTGATAAGGATCCTATTTACAATAAGATAAGAAAGGACACAGGAAAAATCCAAACGGAGAAGGCCAGGGTTCTAGTGGAGGCTGCACGCGTTGTTATACCGGTAGAGGGGGCAGGCATCCCCGAAATCCAGGCCTTCCAACAACATCTGGTAGACTACCAAATTATAGTCTATCAGTACGGATCCAAGGGCAGGGATCTGGTATATAAAGGCGAGGAGAAACCCAAGAAACTCCATTTGCTGTATCACGAAGGACATTACAATGTCATAACATCATTGACGGCGGCGTTTTGTTGTGGTTATTATTGTGAAGAGTGTAATATTCCTTACAATAGTAAAAAAGACCATAGATGTGGCGGTACATGCGCGGGGTGTCAACAATCTCCAGCATGCCCTACAGACAATATGAAAATCAAGTGCCCCGAGTGTTTGCGTTCGTTCAGAGGACCTCGATGTTTCGAGAACCATAAGAAGGTTGGATCATACGGCAAAGGTTCGGTATGCGAAAGTGTTAGGAAATGCCCGGCGTGCCTTATAGTTGTAAAAGCAGACAGACCACATACTTGTGGCGAGAAGTTCTGTACGATTTGCAAGAAACATCAGCCGCAGCCGCACCATTGTTATATGCAGCAGGATACAGGGTGTCCCAGTATGAAGAACATATTGTTTATTTTTTATGATTTGGAAACAAGACAGGAGAAGAAGCTGGAAGACGGTAGTTTACTTCATGAACCTAACTTATGCGTTAATAGAAAGGTTTGCGACAGTTGTATTGACAAGAACAATAATGTTGTGTGCCAAAAGTGTGGGGAAAGACAAAAAGTGATTAAAGACAGCGCTATACCGGTATTATTAAGGGATATTTTAGTACTTAGGAAACAGTTCAAGGATGTGGTGGTGCTAGCACATAACGGCGGAGGGTTTGACCATCAATTTATCCTGGACTATATTCTCCAGCAAACAGATCTAACACCTGAACTTATCACCCGAGGTACCAAGTTAGTTCTCATGTCTGTGGGCAACGTTAAATTCCTCGACTCCCTTAATTATTTCCCCATGGCCCTATCCAAATTACCTAAAGCATTCGGATTGACAGAGTTGAAGAAAGGATATTTTCCCCATCTATTTAACACCGTAGGACATCAAAAGTATGTTGGACCAATGCCCTCTATTGAATATTATGATCCCGACAATATGAAGGTTGAAGATAGGGAAAAGTTCATTAAATGGTACGAGGAACGTGTAGCGGAGAACTACATGTTCGATTTTGAGAAAGAGTTTGTTGAATATTGTGTATCTGATGTCGACATTCTCACGCAAGCCTGCCTCAAATTCAGAAAACTCATGATAGACGAGGGGAACGTGTGTCCGTTTACAGAAGCCTCAACATTACCCAGTGCTTGCAACAAGATTTTCCGCCGCAATTTCCTCCAGCCCGAAACTATAGGTATCATTCCTAAAAACGGGTACAGGTTATGCGATAACCAAAGTAAGATCGCGCTCCAGTGGTTATTGTGGGAGGAGAAAGAAAGAGGAGTTGAAATCATACATGCCGCAAAGCAGCAGGAAAGTATTGTCGCGGGATGTAAAGTAGATGGGTTCTGTGAAAAATCAAAACAAGTGTTTGAGTTTCACGGTTGTTATTACCATGGGTGCCCTAGATGTTACAAGTACGAGCGCCAGGTACCGCTGAAAGACGACCCTACACAAACATTGGATTCCCGGTACGAAAATACGGTTACTAAAACTCAACATTTAATAGACCAAGGGTACGAGGTGATTGAAATGTGGGAGTGCGATTTCCGGCGCAATATGAACGATGAAATCAGACAATATACCGAAGACCATCCTTTACTCGTAAACTTACCACTAAATCCGCGCGACGCTTTTTACGGGGGCCGTACGGAAAATATGAAAACCTATTACAAGTGCCGGGACGGAGAACAAATCAAATACGTCGACGTTTGTTCGCTTTACCCGTGGGTGAACAAGTACGGAAAGTACCCCGTAGGACATCCGGAAGTTATCGTCGGTAATGAAAAGTGTAGTAAACTTAATCTGCTTGAAACAGACGGACTGATTAAATGCAGAATTCTTCCACCTCAGCAGCTGATCCATCCCGTATTGCCGGTAAAACTGAACGATAAACTCATGTTCGTGTTGTGTTACACGTGCGGTAAAACAGGGGCCAGAGAGTGTAGTCATAGCGATGAAGAAAGGGCAATTAACGGAACATGGGTTATTGACGAAGTGGTGAAGTCGGTTGAGAAAGGGTACCTTATACTAGATATTCAGGAAATCTGGAAATATAAAGTCACACAATATAATCCGGAGACAAAAGAAGGGGGTTTATTCAATGGATACATCAGCAAATTTCTAAAAATAAAACAAGAATCGTCAGGCTGGCCCTCATATTGTACAACACCACAATCCAAAGACCAATACGTACGTGAATATTTGGCAAGGGAAGGTGTTACGCTAGATCCCCAAAAGGTGGCTGTAAACCCGGGCCTCAGGCAGCTTGGAAAAGCTGTTATCACATCGTTTTGGGGCAAGTTAGGACAGAGGGAAAATCAGGGAAAGACGTCTATTGTGAATAGGCCAGAAGCCCTGTTTTCTATGCTAACTAACCCTGCAACAGATGTCAACTCCATACTGTCTGTGAACGACGATACTTTACTGGTAAATTGGTCGTTTAAAGATGAAGCGTACGATGTTTTACCAACAGTAAATGTATGTTTAGCCGCATACACCACGGCCCAAGCCCGCCTGAAATTATATAGCTACCTGGAAAAAGTTGGTGATAATGCTATTTACACGGACACGGATAGCGTTATTTACCTATCGAAGACCGGGCAAGAAGATATTCGGCTTGGAAATTTCCTTGGTGAAATGACTGACGAGCTGGAGGGGTATGGCGAGGGCAGCTACATTGATGAGTTTGTATCGGGAGGACCTAAGAATTACACATATAAGGTATATTCTCCTAAGACCGGGGAATATTCCATAACGTGCAAGGTTAAAGGTCTCTCCCTAAACTACAACGCCTCTCAAACCGTGAATTTTGAAACCATAAAATCCATGGTTTTAACAGAAGAAGAGCCCGAACCTGTACCAATAATCTACAAACAGATACGGAGAACCGGGGATCACAAAGTTATGACTACACAACTGACTAAACTATACAGACCGTTGTCGACCAAACGGAAATTCGACGAGCAAGGTGGTTCATTACCGTTCGGGTTTAAAAAAGCTAGACACTGAGAAAAACTGTATTTAGTTCATACTTTTAGTTATAATATGTTTTAGTTTTGTAAATGTAGTATTTTGTAGTTATAATAATTGTACTGTAATTTATACTATCACGTATATTATTAATATATTTTTATACAGGCTGTATTTGTATGTTACTATACAGGTTGTACTTATATAAACCTATATTAGATTTCAGTTAAGTTCTAATTGTTTTATCATTAAAATATGTAGGGTTTAAACCTTATACATGTCATGTAGAAAATTATGTTTTTATATTTTATTTGTACTAACACACATTATATACTTTTGTTATATTTTTTATACATGGTGTATAGAAAATAATGTTACTTTTAACGTATGTTTACTATGCACAAGTTGTACTTATATATTAGACTTAGGTTCTTTAGTTAGACGTTGTAGATAAACATTATCATTTTATAGCACCACGTATATTTTATACATAGTGTATAGAAAATAATGTTACTTTTAACGTATGTTTACTATACAAGTTGTACTTATACATTAGATTTAGGTTCTTCTGTTAACCACTGTAGATAAACATTATCATTTTATACTATCACGTATATTTTATACATAGAGTGTATAGAAAATAATGTAACATAAACACGAATGTTATTAGGATAATTATATATATTTATAAAATAGTCTGGCGCATTCGTCACAACAGCAAAATACTTTTATTATCTGTCTTTTAGTAAAAGTAGGGCTCTAGAGACGACACAGATAAACATTTATACTAACACTTATAAAGCTTCGTTGTAATGTTTGTACTAATACGTTTTTATCAATAAAGAATTATTAAGCAAACCTTTTTCTTTATATATATCCTTCAACCTAAGCATAGAAAACCTGAGAGATGTGAGAGGTCTTTATTTTAAAAAAAGATAACAAGTAATGTTTTCTTATACGTGGGGACCTGTAATGATGATTAGCTCCGCTATTAACTATTTCTAATAGATGGCACTACTCATACCTCTAACATACGGCTCTAACAGAGAATTTATTAAAAAACACACGGTGAGAACCACAGCGTTCAGCCAGTCACCATTTCCTTTCAAAAACCAAAACATCCGGTAGATGACTACTTTGTCTAACCACATGATGCAAATTGATCTAATTCTAGAAAAATATGATATCATACCGGAAACTGCAAAGTCCGATTAAAAATAATATCGACTGCAAACTCTGATAAGGAATAAATATTGCACAATGTGTTTTTCACCGTCATACCGGAAACCGCAAAGACTGATTACTACTTTTTTATTCTACATGTATTACCACCAAGTTTGATTTATTTTTACTTAAATATTCATCGCTAAAACCGGGCGGTGATTTCATCACGTATTACTTTTACACCATATATGCTTTTTTTCACACCGTATATATTCAAAAAATATTTTTATGTAATTATTTATTTTTCCACACTATATTTTCTGTTAAATTACCCCGTAGCATAGTTAATTATTTTTTTTTAAACTATCGGTAAAGGAGCTTGCGCTAGTGGATTTTAAAAATATGTACCTAAGCCAACGTTAGACAATCAGGGTCCGTTGAAGCGGTTCAATCAGGTAAACGAGCCGTTCCAATCAGATCTGTTGCAATCAGGGCCGTTCCAATCAGGGCCGTTCCAATCAGATCTGTGTTGCTTTCCTGTTGCTTTACTCTAGTGTTCCTGTTGCTTTACTGTAGTGTTCCTGTTGCTTTACTGTTGTGTTGGGTATAAATACTACATATTCTTATGAAAGGTATCATTAGTACGTCATCGGTCATGGAACGACAACGCTGTAGGTTAAAACTCCTGGATATACCAAACCAAAATATATTTGGTATTAGAAGAGCGAACAAACGTCTGCTTATTGGTAACGAACCAGTTAAAGTTCAATATGATGATGGGTATCTAGCGATTAAAGATGAAAAATTTGAATTGACGAGCGGATTATTGAACCTTCTTACTCAATCGCATCCTACTGAGTACTCCGAAATAGATTTAGAGAATTATAAGTTTATACTGTTATTGACAAACGCACATAGACGTCAGTTTAATCAGGATAAACACATTAATTCAAGCAAGAGCTGGAAATATGTAAATATTATTTCTAAACTATTTCCACCGGCAAGGAAGAAAGGCGAAAGAAAACGTACTGTGAAACAACAACAAGGAAATCAGGATATAAACGAACAAGTCTTAAACAATAGTTCTCCTGCTCTGGAATACTATGATATAAACGAACAAGTCTTAAACAATAGTTCTCCTCCTCTGGAATACGACGACATTAATGAACTGGTTGATAGACTATATGTATTGGATCAGACCCAAGGGAAAAAAGAGGATATTTTCAAGATTTTAAGGGAGCTTGAGCGTTTAGAAGTGGTATATAGACCCTAAACCTGTATATAGGGTGGTTAACAAACTACTTACATTCAGTTGACAGCCTAATCTTGTCTGAACAACATGTACGTTATTTTAGCGATAGTGTCAGCGGTTGCTGTGCTTATTCACCCTACAAGTGGTAAGGAGCTAACACAAGAAGAAGCCCAGACTTTCTTACGATTTCACGGATATTTTCATAATAACGAATCAGCAGACGTCCAGAACCTAGAATCATTGACGGAGGGTTTAAGCGAATTTCAGACTATATATAATCTGCCAGAGGATGGAACATTGAACCCCCAAACCGTTTCTTTTATACAGAGGTATTGGTGTGGAACTCCTGATAATTACTATACCCTTCGTAATAGCAAACAAGGAAAATGGAATACTAATAGGTATTCTAAGATGGACAGTTTACCCTCCATCAACCGCATATCTTCCACATAGACAAAAATATGTAGGAATAACGAGACAGGCTTTCGAAATGTGGTCTGTCAATAGCAATTTGCAGTTTGAGTATGTTAACCCGTACTCGAAAAAATATTTCTGTAAATATAGTGATTTCATTTACGGAAGCAAACCATACTTTTTACATATATTTTTCCAATTTAATGTCCACGACCGAGGAAGTTCACATACAAAAAAGTTTAAGTTGGTATTTGGATGAGGAACCGGTCCCGGAAGGCGCTACAAGTCTGTTGAGAGTTTTAACACATGAAATAGGTCACGTCCTTGGTATAGCGCATTCTACAAACTACGAATCTATAATGTACCCGTCTTTGGTGTTTGAAAACACAACGAAACTATCGCAAGATGATATATTGGCAATTCAAGAGTTATACGGTTCCAAACCGGCAGTGAGAACTACGGTGAGAACCATGAAGACAACAAAAACGATGCCTACAACAACCACGAAGACAACGACAACTGTCCCAACGCCGAACACGCAAGGAATCAATTTAAAAGTTCCAAAATTATGTGATTTAAATTCTAAGATGTCAAATACCTCGTTTCTAATTGTGAATAATAAGCTCTATTTGTTTTATAAAAAGTACGTGTGGATGTTAAATTTAAACACTAGGAAAATTCAAGATACACCGCTTGTAATAACTGATTGGTTAACATTTTTACATAAACCTTTTGAAAAAATATCGGGTATTTATCAAAAACCAGATAACGAAGTTGTATTATTCAGTGAAAGTATGATTTATATTTTCGAATACGCCTCGTTTAGGTTGCTTAAACGCGAGCATTATAATGTTCTTATGAAGAATTATCCAGCCGTACGAGGTGTCGTCAATTCGTACCGTGGTAAAACGTACTGATTTTTCGATAATAATATGTTTAGCGAAATTGATGATTGTCGGTTTTTACCTAAAAGCACCGCTCTCATAACTGAGCAATTTACAGGAGTGCCTAGTAAAATAGACTCTGTATTTCGGTACACCGATGGCATAATTTATTTCCTTTATAATGGGCATTATTATGATTATGATGAATTTTCCAATAGTTTAAAAGTAACCGGTAAACTTAGCTTGGATTTCTTTGGAATATCTTGTCCGAATATTAGTATATTAGAGAAACTAAAAGTATTGTTAAATAAAATTATAACTCAAAATATTGTATAAGGTTATTTTATATAATTATATTATGTTTCCTAAATAAATGTAATTAAAATTATTTCTCGTTTTATTTTTTAGTAGAAAACAAAGGAAAGTTAACCGCATAAATAACATCTAAATCGTTTAAAATCAGTTTTTCCAACCCTAGAAAAATATATCAGCACCACCACTACGAATTTAATTTTTATGTAAAAAAGGTTGACTTACCAGATAGACACACAAAACTACAATGTTTTTGCAATACGTTTATCTGTTTATTATTAATTCATTGGTGTGTGCTGATTGGTTGCTAATTATAGAAAAATATGTAGCGTCGTACGTTATTGGTTGGTATTTTTTTGGCGCGAACTGAAGAGCGGTTGACGCTTGGTGATTGGTTGTAAGGGGAATTTTTAACTATAAAAGGAGCTGTTTTTTTTCGTAAAGGCATATAGTTTTCAAAAACAAGTGTTAATACTCTCGAAACTTCTCCTAGTATAGTGTTGAGATGGCCCAGCAACAACAACAACAAGAAAACGCTCTGCTAGTCAGTTCCGGTATAAAAGAAGAAAAAATTTTGAAACCCAACCTTATGGTGTTAAATGTACTATATCCAATCATGGATATTGAAAATATTGAAGGGAAATATGGTAAACAAACTAAAGTTAATTTAAAAAGTGGAATGGTGGTGTACCTCCCCAAACGAATGACCCTTGACGATGAATATATTGAAAGTATTTATCCCAAGCAAAAGGCTCTCGTATGTAGGGGCCATAAATATGTGGAAAAGTTTAATGTTTCCACCCCTCTATTAGAAATTGTAGAAGATTGGGGGCAGTGGTAAGTACATTTTCTTTAATTCTATGCTTAAATTTAATAAAACTCTATCTTTTGTTTCAGAAGTATTAAAGCCTGGCCAGAGAGTACGCAATTTTGTTATAAGTGCAAACGCTATTTTTGTTTCTGCGAAGAGTCCTGGGAGCACACATTTATATTGTGAAAAATACACGTTCATTATTATGCTCCGAAACTATGTTTGACTCACCGTAGTAGTAATGTTTTTTATATCCAAATTTTGTAAAACTTTCAACTTAAATGACTAACTTTAAATTTTTTTGTAACTTTAATTTTGTATTATTATCCTAAAGTAATCCTAGCAACACGGCAAAATTTTGTTCTCTCTCGGTATATAAATATTATTTTTTGTTTTTTTTTTGTTTTATATTCAAATGACTTTAAACTGTTTGTCTCTAAGAACTTAAATGTTGTAACTCTCACTGCTAGGCGTTTAAATAAAAACTATTTTTAAAAACTTTGTATTTTTTTCTGAAATAAAAATTATTTTTTAATTTTTTTTGTTTTATATTCAAATGACTTTAAACTGTTTGTCTCTAAGAACTTAAATGTTGTAACTCTCACTGCTAGGCTTTTAAATAAACACTATTTTTAAAAACTTTGTATTTTTTTTTCTGAAATAAAAATTATGGGTGTGTTATGTAAAAGAAAACACGTTAATATCTTTTTCATCTCTTTATTTTTTTTATTATGAAAAAGTTTTATATTGTTAGACCCTTTTAAAAAATATATGTAATAAATTAAAAACTGAAAAAGTTTTATATGTTAGACCCTTTTAAAAATATATGTAATAAATTAAAAATAGATATTTATGAGTAAGGTCTTGGAAAATCATTAAAATTTTATATGTTAGGTCATTTTAAAAATATATATATATATATATATATATATATATATATATATATATATATATATATATATATATATATATATATATATATATATATATATATATATATATATATATATATATATATATATATATATATATATATATATATATATATATATATATATATATATATATATATATATATATATATATATATTTAAAATGATCTAACATATAAAATTTTAATGATTTTCCAAGACCTTACTCATAAATATCTATTTTTAATTTATTACATATATTTATATTTTTAATTTATTACATATCATTTTAAATATATATATATATATATATATATATATATATATATATATATATATATATATATATATATATATATATATATATATATATATATATATATATATATATATATATATATATATATATATATATATATATATATATATATATATATATATATATATATATATATATATAATATGTAATAAATTAAATAAAGAAAAAAAAATATTAAAAACTTACATGATGGTGGCGATGGCATTTTTTACAAAATAATAAACGTTTTTAGAAAATATCCTCTCTTTTATAACAAACCCCACGTCTATTTTTATGATAAAAAAAAAACTTTGATAAGGATGCATATGTGTTCGATCATTTCCTATTACCACGTCTTTTTTTTAAACTGCACATTGTCTGCAAAAATTATTTCTGTCTCTGATAGCATAATGGATACATTATGTACTATTTTGCGCGAAGAGCGGGTTTTTGTGTATAATTGGTGTTTTCATGTGTTTACCCCTACAGAACTATAAACACATTCGCATTTTAGAAAATGCGTCTGGTGTTTGAAAACATTTAGAAAGATGCGGTCGTATAAACGGCATAAATGTAAATTTGCATTAAAACGTTTATATGTTCGTATTGTTAGATCTGTGCTCGTGCTGCCTACTCCTACTAATTTGTTTGGAGCAAATGAGTGTGTGAATGTGTCCCAGCAATGTGACTAATACCTTATCGTTGGTGCTGGGTTTAAGGTTGTTTTTATAAGTCTACACCATAAAAATTTGAAAGTAGTCTCTCTCTCATGTTTATTCTTATAAAAGCAATCAACTAAATTAGCTACACCCTGTATATATTAATTTTATTCTACACACCTCGTATATTAACCTTATTCTACACACCTCGTATATTAATTTTATTGTTTATAAAATAAATATTGTTTTTTAATTCCAAGAACTGGTGTTATCAGTTGTTTCCTGTTGTCCTTCACATTATATTTTTAGCTACAAAATCATCAGTTTGTTTCTCACTTTTAACGGTACTGCATCAAGAAATTTATTGTGTATTTTCAGTGCGTTTAGTGAAAAGGGCTATTGAAGAAGAAAAAGGGTGTAAGTGTATGTGTTGAGTGACTGAATAATAATACATATAAACCTCGTAAGTACGTATTTTTAGTAATACGCTTTGTTTTTTGATTTAATACTCTTAAATTAATTTTCTTCGTTTCGATAAATATTAAAGTTTTTTACATTACAAAGGCATAAAGGGCGTACTTGTTGTTGTAATTTTTCTGTTTATTTTGCCGCCGCCACACCTCTATTGATTTTGGCGCGCTGATTTTGACGTTTGATAACGATGTTTACCGAAGTTAAACGATGGGCTATTGTCCTTGTATATATTTTTAAAAATTTTCTGTTGGAGCTTGCGCTACACCTAATTGACGTTTGACTTAATACTTTTTAAATTATTTTTGTTGATAGATTCTCAGAACTGTTTGCTTTTTAATCTCATCTCCAAATTTTATTCTTATAGCGTTAAGTACTTGTACATATTTTTAAATTTTTCTGTTTATTTTGGAGTCTGCGCTTACACCTAGTTGACATTTGACTTAATACTTTTAAATTAATTAATTAATCACTATGTTTTGCATTAGATTTTTCTATTTATTTTGGAGCTTGCGCGCCACACCTAGTAATTTTAGCGCCAGTGTTTGACGTTTGATCTTTGTTTTAATTTAATACTCTTAAATTAATCGTTATGTTTTGCATTAGATTTTTAATTTTTTTTCTGTTTGTTTCGGACTTGTGTGAAAATTTAGATAGTTCTGCCACACCCTATTGATTTTGGTGCGTTGATTTTGACGTTTGACAGCCGCTGTTTACCGAAGTTAAACGATGGGCTATTGTCCTTGTATTTTTAAAAAATTTCTGTTGGAGCTTGCGCTTACACCTAATTGACGTTTGACTTAATACTTTTTTAAATTATTTTTGTTGATAGATTCTCAGAACTGTTTGCTTTTTAATCTCATCTCCAAATTTTATTCTTATAGCGTTAAGTACTTGTACATATTTTTCTGTTGGGTTAGATTCTCAGAGCTGTTTGCTTTTAGTCATCTCTAAATTTTATTCTTATAGCGTTAAGTACTTGCTGTAATTTTTCTGTTGGGGCTTGCGCACCACACCCTGTTGATTTTGGCGCCAATATTTGATGTTTAATCTTTTAGTAAAGTAAAGTCTTTTGGTTTAATACTCTTAAATTAATCGTTATGTTTTCTAATAAATCATTTAGCCATGCGTATATATATTTTATTACTATTTTTGTTAAATAATAATTGTGCGTGCGCGACAAAGGACAGTACCGCACCTTACGATATCAGCCGATATTTGCCGAAGTCAACTTTGTTTACCTAAATTGTATCATTGGATTTATGCTTGCACTTATTAGTTAATTTTAATAAATTCTTAAATCAATGCGTTTTTACAAAGGGTATCTGGTACGTGTTTAAGGGCACGTTGATTTTGACGCGTTTACGATAACAACCGATGTTTACCGAAGAACTCAACCTTCAACAATATTGTTATAAAAACTTTTAAATAAGAACTACATTTATTTTTGTATCAGTCTTTAAGCGGTGGTCGTCGCAACAACACGTATGCTGCTGCTGCTGCTCCCACAACCTAGAAATAGTTTAGGTACTTACCTTACGCCGTTGGTACTGCTGGTGCTGCGCCCCTAT